TGATACGAACATAGTACGTTTGAACATAGACTGGATGTCTAAAGGGAATTCCTTTAAATAAGTATTCATTATATTTTACTACGTAAATACATCTGCCATGTCCTGTTTGCCTTAAAGTTTGATTTATTATAGTGACATAGAAATGTAATGTCGTTAGCAAACGCATGTTGATATGTAATAGCGACTTCATTGCTTTTTCCAATGTGATCTTTGCTTCGATAACATCTTTCCCATAAAGATCACCATTTATCACAGATACCAAAACTCACCACCCCAGAAGTATAGCACCGCCTACCAACTAGTAAAAAACAGAAACCCAAAGAGGCGTATAATTTTCGAAATTAAAGCAACCAAACTCTGGGCCGTACCTTAGTCGTTCATAAAAGAGTTAAAAGCAAGCCGTGTATGAAAAAAAATAAACATTATGAGCAAAGTGATCTTAACACTTTAAAAATCGGTCTGTGTAATTTTTAATAACAAAATTATGGGTTCACAATAAAGTTAGCTTAATAAACCTGTAATTATTAATAGTTCTTCTTTACGCTTACTTATTATAAGCTTCTTTGGTTTCCTAATGTCAGGTTTGCTACGATTTTAATTAAAATTTTACCGTAACTCATATTTAATGAAGGTTAATCAAGTTTAGGATTTGTGCTAGTAATCAATTTACATTGATTAATTAGTTTCATGATAAGAGCTGATGGTAAAATGTAGAATGCGTTATATAACAGTAACTATGAAATCAGTGGTGGGTTTGGCAGAAATGTATCTTGTAAATATATTTTGCTAATAATTTCAATAACTCATCTAAAACAAACGGGATCTTGATATCATGCCAGCATTATGTTTCGTTGTGTGAGTGAGGTTACCATAGACTTAATCCTTCTCCTACTCTTACCTATCCCTCTTCAATCCCTAAAGCTCTGAAACCGTAACTTCAAAAGGCTGGCTACAGACTCGTTGCTCCTTTATTGCTGCGGGTGTCCATGGGCGTCCCCGATCGCTTAGTATTAGGTACTATATTGGCTGGATTGCCAATTCATCATCACATAAAAAATTACGACAGCTGTGAAACAAACCATTCGATAATATTATTCAATTTTTTATTCTCAAATGTAAGTAGAAGCAAAATAAGTCCGCAAAGGATATATAATAAGGCCGTCTCGCTTTGTAGCGACTGACTCTAAGAAAATTCTTAGAGTTAATACACTAAAACCGATCTATAAAATAATGATAAGATTCAAAAAAGTCAAAAACATTGCCACGAAAATAAAACAATACGTTCTAAAGCCTAATCTCCCAAAGCGATGGCATCTTAACGACCTCTTTAGTGAAAAAGAGCTGACAAAATCGGAGCACCACCCTACAGACAAGGATTCTTAGTAAAACGGACACAGGTACAGTCAGAATAAAGGACAGTCATGAAATAAATAATATTTAAAAATGAAATTAATGAAATTAAATTAAGTGATTTTGGTTTTAATGAAATTGATGATAAAGTTGATTGTGGTATATATGGGTCGGGGTTGCACATTAAAAGAAATAGGGCTCCTCGGCCTACAGAAGAAAGAACTGGGGCGCCATACCCTGGGCGAGTGCAGAAACAAAATGATTAAGCTCCAGCCCAAGTAATAAGTTAACATACCTATATAATAAAAATGAAAGTTAGTTTATATGGATGTTTGTTACTGATTCAAGTTAAAACTACTGAACAGATTTGAATGAAATTCATTGGAACAAAAACAAAAACAGCTTATTGTCTAGAATTATACACAGGATAGGTATACTTTTTCTTCGAGAAAGGGGCAAAAGATGCTTAGAAGCCTTTATGGATACTTGCTCTCACCAAACCCATAAAGAAACATCACCACTGTACTATGATAATAATCGTGTATCCTAATAACAGTGTCGGTCTCTTTGTCTATTGTTTACATTAGGGTGGCTTGCTACGTGATTTCGGTGGTCATGCCGGCTTCTTTGCACGGACCTCCCTGCTGTTATTGTTAAATACGTCGTCATTCTGATAGCGTCCACAGTGTGTTCCAAAAGTCACTCATTACGTTTTTAGGTTTTGTTTTATTGTACCGTAGCCTTATTTTTGGTTGTGTTGTTTTTTTGCATACTAACTAACTGAAACATTATTTTTAATTGTATATGTATTTGGTATAAATGCAAATAAAGATTGAAAAAAAAATTGTATATGTTTTCATTCAAGCAATGTTTTCATTCAATCAATGTCAATTTGACATTTTAACCAATGTCTGTGTAATTATCATTTACATTTCCACTTTACAATCTTTGGCCAAATTATGACAGTGGGTTTTACAAATATACAAAAGAACCTACTGTTTATTGGAACACTACAATGTTCTGGCTCTATATTGATCCATTTTTTTCAAAGTATCAGTAAAGCGTTACTTCGAAAGTAAATATTTTTGAGTTACCTCACATTCTTAGAAATAAAAAGTCACCTCAAACACTTTCAACAAAACAGCCTGTACGTGTAAGAAGGGTGCGCGCGCGTCGTTTGTCGGCGCAGACGCAGCACGTGGCGCAGTTTAACCTGCGCGTGAGTCGCGCGCTAATGACACTGTGTCACTCGACTCCCGGCCGCCGAACGCGCCGGACGTTAACTAATGTGCCGCTCTATTATTTATTATGTATGAATTTGATGACTTCTTCGAAGGATTTCCAATTGTCTTTGGATTGATGCATAAAAAAACAGACCACCATCTAATTATAAGGGCTATTTAAAAGTATCTTCATAAAAGTATATTACATTACCTTAGAATAATCAAAGCCTTTATTATTAGACCAAATGGGCAATATACCGTTTTATTTATACTCTTTGTATCAGAAGCTTTCTGTCAAAGCAAACCCGCGCAGTGCCGGGGTTGCGGGGTAAGCGCAATGAGGCACCGCGACCTCGGCCCAGAGCAGGAGAAGGAACAGGGGGGTTTTTAGTCAGTAAGAGTCTGACACTCCCTCCCGCTCGGCCCTGGGCGGGAGAAGTCATTTGATGATTTTCCCTCACAAAAAAATGACCCGCGCCAAATTGCGCAGCAGCCAGTTTCCCAGCCGCTATGCCAACTGTGCTGTCAAAAAAACAGGCAGAAAAAGATCAAACAGGCTAAACCGACAGGTTTCTGCTTTTACAATGCTTTAAGGAATTAATATTCTATATTATTAATAATTCAGACAGTGTTTATAAACAGGTGCACTCGAACTCTATAAAAATTGTCACGCGTCAATAACAATTTCTTTTCGTTTGAAGGTGCCGCATGTTAGTACAAATACTGAGTTAAATGAAACTTTGTGGAAAAATTATAGTGGCTATCTGGATGATACTATAAATGGCAAAGATGTTTTTATTAGATGTACTTATCAGTAAGTGCAAGTAAATGAAAACGGAACATAGTATTTCCAAAGTTCCCTTAAACATAACGAGAAGGAATGGAATGGTTTTTAGTTAGTAAAAGTCTGTCCCTCGTTTCCACTTCGGGTTGGAGAAGTATTTGGAAAACTAAATACTCTAAAAAAAAAAGAAGATGCATCTATGAAACACACGCCATTTGTTGTTGACGATGATGTTGTGAACAACTTTATCCTTAGTAGATGATTGAATTATAAGATGTAAGAATTTTTATACTTTAATTTTAATGCATTATGCCATCATACTTACAAGTTGTAATATATGACAAACACAGTGATTAGTCAGATTTAAGAATAGGTGATTTGAGGAATGATAATGAGTAGTGGGTTAGTTTTAAACATCATTTATAAGGCGTAACACAACGTAAGTACCTACTGCTTCACGTTGGTATTTTGTAAGGCCGTGGATTCACTCCAATCGGGCCGGCCCATTCGACCCACACTTTAAACTCTTTTTTTTTAATAGCTGCTCTAAAATTTAATATTAAAATTTCTCATTTTTATAAGTTGTATTACTTTTTTTACTTAAGTATAAGTTGTATTACAGTTCATCTTCTAAAACAATATGTAACATAATATTTTATCCATCTTGTTCCCACATTAAGTAACCGATGTTTAAGATTACTATATTCTGCGTAACACGCCGCCCTCGGGCGACCACTCATCTTAAAAGTTTTTTACAACAAGATTTAGAGCCTGTTAGCATTTTAATGGTGTTCTTTGAATCCATATTGAATTCTTATAACAAATTGCTTTTGGAGTCAAAAAACTGTAGTGATTTTCAAATATGTATGTATGTATAGACTAACAATCTAACTCACTAACAAAAATGTGCAGAATCTTATCTACAAACTAAATATTATACATAATACTTCAATGAATGGAAAATACTATTTAAATTATAGAGTACCGATATCCTCCAAGGTAATTAAAATATATTAATAATATTAAGGTCATACAACCGCCCTACAAAATATTAAACGAAACAAAACGCAGAATTATTAAAGGCTAACATAACATTGCCTTCGACTAAACGAAGTAAAACCTTAATAGATTTATACAGTAAATAGCGCACAAGGTCTAAATATAGCAGGCACTTGTTAACTACAACAACTCACACATACGCGAAATTGATATCATATACCACCATAAAAACAGCGAATCCCATCGCTGTGATTAAATGCTAATTAACACCAGTATTAACAATCTAGATGCACACCCCACCTTTGTCTTAAATGGCAGATCACCAAGCCACAAATCGACTCTTATTACGACAATATCAATAACTGTCACTGCGCCCAATCATTATAGTTTCGTCTCGTTTACGCGAAACAACAGTAATTACCGACCATTACCTACATCTCTTTCGAACTCATTAATCTAAAGCTATGTAAGTAACGAACGACTCTTTCCATTTCTTTCGCGCAGAACAACGAGCTACACGGGAAAAACGCACCTAACAAACATAGCTCCGTCTCACTCGCACTCAAGGTAAATGCGGCCAGAAATAAAAACCTTCAAAAGTGTATTTTTTTCTTAATTACACAACAGTTACATTTTCAAAATGACAAGAGTAAAGTGTCTTTAAAATTTGAAATTGGAACAGTCCCCACCACGCGTAGGGATTCGTTAAGGCGCTCGCGCATGTTTTTTCAAAGTAAAAAAGAAAATAAGGCTCGCGGGAAAGAGAGGCTTAGTTGCTTTTTATAGTCGTTCCCCCGGTGCGCCGGCGCACGGAAGTATCGGAGCTTCAGGATCGAGCCTTAATCTCATTCTAATAAAAAGCTCACGCATAAATTGACGCGCTAACATTAGTTTTAAATTATAATAGTTTTTTATTTTTTATTTGTGTATTATGAAAAATCGTGTGTTATTAACGGTTGTTGAATAATGCCGGACACGTGTCATTTATGGTTATTTTTATTGTCACAATTAACATTAATTTTGTGAGGCGAAGTGTGAAGGGTTGTTTTTATTGAGTTATCATTAGAACTTCATCGTTCGCGCTGTGTGGCCGTGTTTCATTTTATTTATTATTACAATAATTTAAAATGAATTAATTATTTTTCAAATTGTGTCGGACAGTGGTTTATTAGTTTTGTTTTTTGGAGGTTTTTATTTTTTTACCGTCAAGATGTTTCTAAGGTAAGATTTTTTATTTATTTCTTAATTTTTATTTCAGCCTTTAAACAAGTTCTAATTTTTTGAACAAAAAAAATCGTTACCTTTATTATTTGTAAATAGTTACTTATATAACATTTTATTTAATTTTTTAAATTCAAGTTACATATTCAAAAAATATATTTTTTCCTAGTACTTAGTCGCATGCACTAGAAAATTTTGTATTTTTTTTATAAAACGATCAAATATTTAAAAAAAAACAATCTTCTTGCATTCAAAAAAGGCAGAAGGTAGCTCCTCTGCATATAGCCCTACATTTATAGATTTAAAAATCCAATTTTTTCGCTTAATTTATTGATTTTTATACAAGTTAACATTCTGCCGTAAGCATGAAACCTATTGAGTTATAATAGAGTTTAATTCCAGGTTTAAGGTTATTGCTGGAAATTTCGAAAAACAAAAAACCTTACAACTTTATTTTCACTTTAAAGTTAACACACTAATAACGTAGTTTGCAAAAAAATCACGTCTAGGTTTTTTTAATGGTATAGGAAACTACCGAGCAGACGCATCACCTGATGGTAAGCTATCAACGCCGCCCATGGATACCCGCAATACCAGAGGAGTCATAACTGTGATGATAGCATTATAACGTTCATTTCTTAGGTAGAACCTCTAATTTACCATAAAACGCCTATATCTTAAAATGACGCCATAAAAGGTATAAATACGAAAACAAATGAAATTGAGTTTCTTCTATTACATACGTGCTAACCATTTTCCACGCACCATTGTTTTACAAAACTTCCGAAAACCTTCACACTATTATCGACATTAAAGCTAACACGTTAGAGGTGTTTATAGCGTCAATTAATTTGCATATGTGTACGATATGTACTGCCGGTTGTACGTAGAGTTAGGTATTGTGACAAAATTGTAACCTTTTGTGTTTGTACAAAGATACTAAATGTTACGTAGTAGCAATCGTGATCCACGTTTTAAGACATAAATATCTAATATTATTTAAAAAAAATTCATGATTTTGTAAACACGTACTTGAGAGTAAGTATATGGAAAATATTATTATTTGTCGCTTTTAAATTTAGCTATTTTGTCTTAATATAGTACTTATACCTATATTTTTAGACATTCGCTGCATCCATTGTTAAGTTATTTTTTTTTTTTAATATTTTATTACACAAAAGCCCTGAATAAATAAGCAACATTGATCCTTACATGAGTATACTTTTTGACCAGTTATATTAAAAAACAAATGAATAAGATTGAAAAAAGTTTTCCTCAAATATTGGTACCTCTTTTTACATAAAAACTCTGACTCAAACGCCTTTCTCTAAGGCAGATTAATTACTAAGTACAATAATTTAAATGCTACATTAACCATGTCTTATTTTTTCTATAAGTAAATTATAAACACGAAACTAAGATACTCTTTTACTTAGTGATGATACTTTTTGGGAAGCTAGAGTGAAGGTCTTCGCAGAATCTAGTACTTATTTTTACATTTAATTACACCTGAGGTTACCAAACCACACAACGACCTTCCAATTTCATGTACAAAACACGCTTCCATTATTACATTACTCGAAAATGTGTTAAAATGTATAGGAAAACAAAAATAACTTAACACAATCACGCACTTATTTAACGAAAACCCGATAAAAACTAGCCCAAGTTCCTTATTTGATTACAACATTAATAGATGGTCAAGAAAAAAACATATTTTTTAATTAATTGATAGAAATAAAAATAAATGCATAAACGCCAACAATTATAACTGAATATTTTTATTATTAACCCCCTAAACTAACCCTAAATTATTATTTTTATTTAATAACAATGTGAAGTTCTATATACCATAGTAGGTATCGTATATAAAAATTCATATTGTTATTAGCATTCTATGTATAAATAAAAATATTTTTGTATTTTACTTTTTTTGGCAACTGAACGTGAATGATTCTAAATTTAAATATAAAATTGAATTAGACTATACTTCAATATAAATTATATGTTTTCTTCACTAATTTATTTTAACAACAAAACATGACACATATAATTTCTAAGACGAAACTTCGTCAGAATCATTTCAAGATTTTTAATTTAACATATTATTGTTAGGAAAATACAGGCTTTTTTAGCATGGAGCATGGTAATCATGGTCGGAGTAAATTGCTTACCATCGGGTGACCAATGCGTTCGTTTGCCACCTAATCCCATAAAAAAGACTTGACAGCCGACGTAACGACGCCTTTGTTAGGGTGATGGTAACTAAAAAGCATAATTGAATAAACTTATGGATGGTCATCGAAATATATAAAGAACATTTAATTATTACTTTGGTATATATATAATATACTTTGGTATGTAAAGTATAATATCGTCGACACCGTAGATTCACACGTTATAAGTACCATTTAGATGTAAGCTATATTTATCTCAAATTTAGTGAAATGTTATTTAAGCTTTTATGAGAATAAAGCTGTTTTAATCTAACCCTAGAACAATCTAGATAGAAAACCTAAAAAGTCCAGTGACTTTGATAAAAATCTGTTTTATTAGAACGTGATTGCCAGCTCTAAGCAATGTGCAGTTCCTTATTCGGCTCGTACAATAACCTCGTGAAGATTAAGAAAAGTAAAAAAAAAATATAGTAACAACGAGTAGCTTTGATACATAAAAAACATTTTGATTTCTTTAATCGTATTTCAATAACAAATACAATGTGTTCGACTCCATTCCAAAAAGATTATATCAATTTATACCTACCTGCTATTTTGACGTCATTTTGTAAATGTGTCGTAACATTTCTGTTCAAAGTTCGAATACAACTAAAAGATATTCTGCAGACGTAATAATATTTGCAGAAAAAATATTATATTGGGCGGTCATAATTATTATCATTTGCATTAAGCATATTAGTTAACTACAGTTTGTCACCAACTTCATAATTATAAGCTTTCGATAAACTTATGTGGCAGATAGTCCGTGCAAATTAAAAACTGAATATTAAAAAATATGTAGTATTTGGCACGTTAGGCATTATTCAGTCCGTGAAGTGAAAAGAGATTCTGGCATCGCGTTGTCTTTATCAAGAAATTTTCTGCCCGCTCGTTTATCAAAAGAAAAAAAATGAATTAAAAAAAACGTAAATTATGTAGTGTGCCAATAACAAAGTGTAGATTTGTTATTGACAATGACATGGGATAATATAATGTCAAAACTTATGTCAAATGCGTACATTGACTTTTGTATTCAGACGATTCGATTATCGTTACGCCATTAGAAATGGGGCAGATGTCGACTAATGTATTACGGAAGAATTTAAACGGTCGACTTATAGAATTCAGCGTGAAGCGTTCTCGTCGTTACGCGAGCCAGTATGTAAGGAATGCCAGTTTTTGTGGCTCGACGTGTAAACGATTTTACAGATACATTCTTGATTAGGTATATTTAAAAAATAGGGTCTGGAAGAGGTTGGTGAGGTCATTATAGTGTGAAAACGTGACACAGAGGGATTCTATGTAATAATGTCTTCATTGAAATTTGTAGAAAATACTGAAAAAATAATTTTGCGTATAGATGAATTCAAGTAACGTTAACTAGATATGTAAGTGGGTTATTAAAATAAAACTAAAAAATAAATTGTTTTGGTAAACCCATAACAAAATTTGAGATACCAGATTCTTATCCCTTTTTTCTCAAATTCTTATCCTCCTCCTTTAAAACATATAACCAAAACTATAAATTTTAACAATGTTGCAAGACCTTTCTATTGCAATGTTCATAAATAGAGTTTAAGTATTAAAAATAATAGAAATTACCACTTCATCCGGCTTCAATACAGGTTATTCCATATTTAAATCGCGCACCTTCAATTCTACTAAAATGACTAATTAGAAAATCTGAGAAGGATAAATTAATAAACAAATAACCATTTGTTTAAAAAGGTCACATCCTCGTTTAAAACAAAAGCCGATTCAAAGGTATTAGTAATTACCCACTTACAAAGAATTGCATATCCATCCAACATGACAAATACGCGTAATCGAATGAACCCAACCGCATCGATTAATCATACAATTTATTCGCTATTACGCCAATCGATCATCGAAAACAAACAATCGATTCGGAGTTCAATCGAATTAATAACACTGGCCATCGTTTCCCACAATCATATTTAACGATTGAAAAAAAGGTCTAATCACTTTGAGTAGTAAAAAAAGAATGACGTATAAAAAGGACTCCCAGGTGAGATGAAAGGGCCGCGCATGCGCGGTGCGGTGCTGCGCGTCGGGTGCGCGGGCGCATGTTAACATGCCGCGGACGGACGGAAAGACACTTCCTTAAGATATTTTTTTTTTGTTTTGTAGATAATATGTTTAGTTTGAATCAATTATGTTGTAACATAAATTACTAGATTAGATGTTTGTATTGCATCGGCTTGGTTGCTGCTGTTGTTCTTTTTCTAAGATAAAGTAATTAAAAACCACCAAAAGATTTTGGTCAGTATTATTTAATAGGTATCACATAAAAAAAATATAATTAAGTACTTACGATTTTCTCAGAATATTAATCCATTGATAAAAATTATATTCATATAGTAAGGTAAGGTAACTTACCTATACGAATATTTTTAGACACTAACCAATTAGATACTAAAATTCCTAAAACCATAGATCAATAGATAAACTTTCTCATAGTTTAATTCTCAAAGGATTACCAATAATTCTTATTTCAAGAGAATAAATATGAATAAAACAGCACGGCTTCTGTTTACTAGGCAATATATCAATGCATCCTGCGCGTGCGACGATTATATTAAGCTTTTAATACGCTCCGCCACTCTACTTTAGTATCTCAATTTTAATAGGCAAACTATTTAATTATCATTATAATATTTATGTATATCATTTGTGTTTAAAATCCAAATAAGTATATGCCATTGTACATCAAATAAAAAACCTTTTTTTAATAGTAAAATAAGCATATCCATGGTGTAGTGTTGTAAAATTGACTGTTAATGTTTTTTATGGTATATGTCGGCGAACGTGCAATCGGATTACCTGATGGTAAGCAATCAGCGCCGCCCATGGACACCCGCAACACTAAAGGAGTTACGAGAGCGTTGCCGGCCTTTTAGGGATAAGGGTTTTGGATATTTAAGGATAGGGAAAGAAACGGGTAGAGGGCCTCCGGTAACCTCGCTAAAATATATAATATCGCAAATTAGAGTTATCGGAGTATTTAAAAACGATAAACAATACTAATACAAATTACGATAAAAAATTAACACTTACGCAAAACAAAAACAAAACAATAACTCATATTTCGAGAACATCCTTAAAACGTGCACTACAAAAAAAGTTTTCTCTAAAAACCTATCTATAATAAATTCATAAAACAAAATGATAAATCAAAAGCTTGCGTCCGCGCATTACACAATAAGCCGCGAGAGTCATGTTAATGTGTGGGTGACATGCACAGACACCTGTCCGGAACGATGCATCCGCACATTGTCTTACATCCTAGCCATTCTACCAGGAATGCTTTCATTTGAATCCTTTCTTAGTAGATAGAAGGAAAACTATGGAACCTATGATATTAAGTTTTATTGTTTCCTCACTTAAGAATTCTTGCAAATGTGATTACGTAACATAATTTTACATAGTTGTTCTTATTGCAAGTTTACTAAAGTGATTCTATTGTCGAGAGTGGTCTACATATAATGTTTAATTTACTATAAAAAAATCCCTATTCACTATCAAAACAGACACTTTTAGTTGAAGGTCGTTTATTACTAAGATATTACTATTTTTAGGACTGACTTTTCAATGGTTAAATAAAAGTTAGCTAGGAAATAATTATGATGCTGTCGTGTGAAAATATTTGTATAAGACAGAGACAGCAACAATTTTATTCTCCTCAGATAACATTTATCTGACTATTGAAAAATTTGCCTTTACAAAACAAAAGACAGTGACACTTTTTAAATTGACGGAATTGTATTTGATTATTATAAAGATTAATAACTCATTGCACTAAAATTAAAATATAGGAGTAGTAGTAGTAATAGAGACCTTTATTTAGTATTTGTACGTTTGTGTGCTCAGTTAGGTTAGCAGGAAAACTAATATATTGTAGAAAAAAATATAAAAAGATATACAAATGCTATGAAACTAACATAATTCTAAATCAAATTTACCTTTTAAACAGATTCGAGCCAACTAAGTCAACAAAAGGCGCTAGTAAGATGCGCCGTGACCTGATCAATGCAGAGATCTCCAACCTTCGAGATCTTCTCCCATTACCCCCATCCACGAGGCAGAGGCTCTCCCAATTACAACTCATGGCACTCGTCTGCGTTTATGTTAGGAAGATGAATTATTTCCAGCAAGGTGAGTCATAAAAAAATAATTGTTTCGGGTCCATAGAGTCAAAGAAAAAATAATTTATTCCAACTAAACCATAAATTTAGGTAAAGTTTAGGTAGTCCGTCAGTCTGTTCGTCAGTCAAGCTAGAACACACGATAATTCTGAATCACTGTAAAACTTAGATAATTGATTTCACTACTGAACTGATAAATAATACAATAACCCTAACATTTATTTACATTTTTATCTTCTCTACTGTCCTTATTACAAATAGGTTATAACATCTTTTTCTATTTGTATGAAGATAAGACATCTTTGGATTAAATTGAAACTGGGCACTATTATCAAAATTTATTCAATAATAAACCTTAAATTAACAACAGGACACAAACCTATTACAATAGCAAAATAATTATTCCAAGTCTGACTAAAATATGCAACAATTTTAACAAGCCGCTTAAAATTCAAAATAACAATATAAGGCCTCTGTCAAGAGCATTGCATTGACAGTCAAACTGAAAGCTAGACAACTGCTTTCAACGTTAGTCATGCAAGAGAATGTTCCCAGGCAACCCACGCATACTTCTGATCGCATTATATAAGTTAATGTGGGTCAGTGGATTAACTGGATCGACGACAGCCTCTTGAATGTTATGATTCATGCAAATAATAGCTGATAATATGTACTTATTCAAATCATTCCTGTCACAATGTTTGCTACAGTGAATTTAATTGGCAGAATCACTGCTACAAAGCCTATTTTGACAATATCTACGTCACATTCAGTTTCATCATGAGACACATCTTCATCTACCATTTCATCAGTACGTTCAACAGTTATTTCCCCCATTTCTAAGCATAGTCGTGAGTCGAGGTCCTCTTCATTTTCATGTAAGATTTCCTCCAGTAAATTCTCATGCTCCAAATCTTTGGGCAAACTCATCACGTCTCATTTATCCTTGATCTCGAAACATCGTCTCCCCAACTTTTTTGTTAGTTCACCTTCAGTCACGAAAAGGCATATTAAGACGTTTAAAATGCATTTAGTTCGCTATCTTATCTACTTTTGTTATTACTACACCCATAATACCCTCTTTCTTTCCGTTTTAGTGTTCAAAAGTCACGACTTCAGCTATCAGTATCAAGAACAACCGACTCCCACACCTAATATTGGATTTTCTAAGGTTTGTATTGTAAATAGTTTTAACTTAACGTTGTTTTGCCGTGACATAAACTAACTTTACAATGTATTTTCAGGCAATGAACGGTTTTATGATGATGATGACACAGAATGGAAAATTGTTGTATATATCGGAAAATGCGGCGGAGTATTTGGGGCATTCAATGGTAGCTTTAAATTTTTCTGGATGTTTTATTGTAAATGTTTAATATTGTAGAGATTTCTAAACTAATTTTGATTTGTAGGAGGATCTGTTAATACATGGAGATAGTGTTTACGATATCATAGACAGACAAGACCACCAAACAGTTCAAATGGAACTCAACAGAGGCAACGGGGAGACTGAAAATTTACCAAAGAATAGACATTTCTTCTGTAGAATGAATGTTTCGAGAAATGCAAGAAGACAGATGAGATTTGGGGACCAAAAAGTAAGTGAAGGCATAAAACATTTTGACTACTTAAAAATAATAATGATTTCTGTCTACGTACTTATTATGTCAGGCTTTGGCACCCGTAAATACAGACGTAAAGTTCGTTCAAACGTTAAACAAATTCCATTTTATTACTTTTCCATTCGAATGGAAGAGTTAAAGATAAGTCAGAATATTTTATTTTAGTCAAGACATTCGAATATATTTTGCAAACATGATCCTAAAGCAAATTTTAGTACGCGACGCACTTACCGACTTATGTATGTTGATTTATTTAAATTGTAATTTTAATATTTATTTTCTCAATTCACATCTTAAACTGCCTCAATCTAGTTGACTATGTAAGTAGGTAAATCGCAATGAATAAGCAATTTCTTGTTGCTAAGTGATTTTTTTTAAAACAAGAATGTTTTTTATAATATATTTTCATGTTTAGATTAATAATTACTTTATTGTACACAGCATAGAGTCCAAACTCACTTCTGCCTTTTCAGTAAATATAGGAGTAATTAATCTATTCTCTTTTCTCACATGCTGGAAAGTGTAATGGAGGAAAAGAAGAATACAATTTAATCACTATCCCTATGTTTCTGAGCATGTGCAAGACTCGGGTTTACTCACAAAAATGTATACTATACTTATACGTTTTTTAAAAAACTTACCTTTTTTGAATAAAAAGGGTCTTCATCTTTTTCGAAAATGTTCTAATAAGTTCTTACGCGTCGATAAATTAACAGTTTTAATTAAAATCAGTTCAATAGTTTAATTATTTTCAATTCGAAGGTTTTAATTTAATAATCATTCACTGACAAGTTTTTATAACTCGATAAATTACGTATGAGTACCAAGTGTTATGTAATAGATTTGCATTCAATATTTAATTATTTTTAATTTGGAAGTTTTTAAGGAAACCTATTGTGACTGTAGGGGACTGCACAAATGGTACAGAGTAGCAACGCCTTCTCAAATAATGGCTTGTCATGGAAATTTTACGAACCCCTCATAAGAAGTGAATCCCTGTAATCCAGGGAAAGGATTGTCGCCGGATTTTTCTTAAAATTACATACTTTTCACGAACTTCAGAACACAGTTTAACAATAACACGTTTCTAGGTAGTCCTTGTCCGCGGACACTACGTGTCGTACCTGCCGCTGTGCAGCCGCAACGAGCCGGTGTTCCTGGCGGTGTGCACGCCGCTCGCCATGCCGGAGACGCGCGAGTGCGTCGTGCACGGCGCCACCAACGTCTTCACCACCGTGCACGCCATGGACATGAAGATACTACATATTGATGCCAAGTAAGTTAATAAAATACATTATTAATATAAATAAAAAACCATATTCTAAAAAATATACCATCACCAACTTCCATTTGCGGCTTCGCCCCTGTGGTGGATAAGAAGTAGCCTATGTTTTTTAAGTCACGTCACGTATCTACATACCAAATTTCAACCTCTTCTTCTTCTTCTTCTTTCTTTCTCAACATGTAGTAGGATGATGGTTCGAAACGTAGCCATCAAGATCATATAATAATCGGCAACGCTTTATTTAAATTGTATATCATCACTCTGACCATCAAAAGGAATGTGTGCTAACAAAGATAGAAGTCCCGTTAAATTTAGTAATTTAGAATCTAATACACATTCAACCCTTAACGTACCCTTTACCGCCTGTGGGCCCGATCCGGAGCAAGAGAAGGAACGGGTTGCGTTTTATTCAATAACAGTTTGACGAAGAGAAGCGATGATTTTCCTGATTTTTAATATTTTTTTTTGTTGTTTTAATACCTATCAAGGTATTAAAACAAGTTCATCATAATATAATTCCACCTTTAGCCTTATTCCACCGCATTCTGAGCAAATACCAAAAACGACAAACTGACTAAAACATTCTTATATAAACAATTACAACCGTGCAGCGAAAACCATTGAGCTGTGACTTGATCACGGACCTTTAAGGCGTCTACTGTTGAACCCTGTATTGCATCCTGACATTCAACCTCACTCGTAGTGGGTAACAAAAAAATACGAAAACAGCTTTACAAAAACTATCAGTTGGAAAAGTCCAGCTATGTACTTCTTTATTATTGGACGACGACACTTTCATGATTACGTTTGGTCTATCAACATCAGTCTGTTTCCAAATTTGTAAGAACTGCTGTATAAGATCTAAGAATCCTTTACCTTTTAAGGTATCACCTACATATTATACCAACAAATTAACGGGTTCCGTCAAAAAAATAGAGGATAAATTTTTGTCTTTAGTTGGTCAATAACGACAACCCCGAGTAGTTATCCAAACAGTTCTGTTTTGTGTTTGTTACTTAAGAAATCTCTGCAATCCAGTACCCATATGAACTGCTTCGAATTTCAAAATTATATGTATTTATCTAAAAACGCGTTCAAGACAACTGGCCGAAAAGTTGACATAAATACTTTTTTGTCTTTCTCAGCGTGAGACGAGAGGGAAAACCTTTATTAATGGAGCTTTCACCCGCAACCCAATCTATTCATAAAAAAACTGTTATCCTTCCAAATACCAAATCATAAACTTACACGAAAGAAACGTAAAAACTAATAGCCTTTTGCGTTTTGTAATAATAAGTATTACAAGCCAATTTATTTAACTAGCGGTATTGGTAATCTAGTTTCTGACTAAGATTAATTGATAGACCCACAGCAATAGCAAGCTTCAAGCAAAATAATATCAAAAGCAAACTTTAAATCCTAAATCAATAAGAAGTAATCTACTCCAAGTATAAAACTTTGCTCATTTAATTAGTTTTTTAATTAACATTTCATTACAAAAGGTATTTGATTAATCAATTTTTGTATTAATGGTCAAATGTTAAATAGATTTTGATGTATGTTTTCTGTACACTTCTGATATGTCGACGGAGTAATTGGTGTCGACCTTGCGAGCCTAGTATTTTAGCACTGTGAATTGGGTTTATATAAAAGCATTGGACAAGAAAAAAAAGCGTTCTTTTTATTTGATAGGATGGTAAAAGATCAGATGGATTACCTATTGGTTAGCAATTGGCGTCGTCCTTGGGCAACCACAATGCTAAAGGCCTTGCCAGTCATTTGGGGATAGTTCCGGAAATTTTGGGATTGTGAGAAGAGGAAGGAATGGGCGAAAAACAACGCTTTGGCTGTTTGACGCCTATCGAGCCGACCCATTCGTGCCGAAGCATGGCTCTTCTAGACATTTGCCTGATTCGTAGTTCAAACCAGAAAGCGTGTAAATACTTATTATTAACAATCACACTTGCGATCTTGCATATAACGATAAAAACATAAAGTTTATAACGAAAATAGTATGTACATATATTCCTTCTTAATACTCTCAATACGATGATTAATGATATAATTTGTTACAGCGGTGAATGGTACTTGGGCTGGAAGAAATCAGAGTTAGCAGATGTATCGTGGTACCAGCTCATACACTGGGACAGTTTAAGGGAAGCACAGAGCAAACACAGATTAGGTGAGTGCCTATAAAATAAAGGTATATAACACTGAAAACGCGAATTAGAATTCTAAACAATATACACATAAAGTTACAAAGTAATATTCTGTACAAGGAAAAATATTGTATTTGTTTGATGACTAGTTTCTTCCTCGCTGTTTCACCCGCTGCTCATTTCTTATTTTATCATTGTGATTTTATAAATAGTTTGGGCCTCCGTAAACTAGCTCGTTCGATCAAACATACAAGCATTTTAGTTTTATATTATCTATAGTATAATATTATAAGTAAAACTATCAATAATAGTGTACTTTACCAATTTAACACATTATAAGTTTAATACTTTTTTCTTCCTTAAAATTTCTACATATCAGAATCGGAATGCCTCAAAAACGGCTAATTCGATTTAGATAAAATGTAATATTTAGTAGACAAAGGCTTCGGCGCCACATATTAATAAATAAAACATTTACAAATTAATATTTCAGTACTCTACGAAACAGAACAATAAATATTGAATTATAATTCTTTAATTTATTAATCATTATTTATAGAATCGGAATAAATACAATGGGGACAATAAAACCTAGTGACACTTTTGATTGGCAAAGGAAATCAATAATCAATTTTAATTTATACTTTATAATATTGATCGTAGAATACAATGAGTTTATTATATTGGCTAAATTTCTAATAAATCATATATAAGTAATTTATTGACTGTCTTTACACTGTTACACTGTCTGTTACACTAACTGGGCGATTCGTGGATTCGTTTGTCAGTCAAAATTAACATGACTATTTGCTCTGTTAGTCGTGTAGTCGCTAGTAACAAGGGTAACAAGGTTCGATTCCCTGGTCGGACAAAGTATTATTCTTAGTTTTACAATATGTGTAATGCTCGGTTTAATATAGCAATGAGCTTGCTCCCGATTATATGGGAGTCTTCAAGAGAAGACTTAAAGTTTTTTTATTTATGTATACTTACGAAACATTTTTAAGATGCCGTCAGATTGACACCAAATCATGGCAATTTTACGTAAAATGTAGTACAAGAACTTCTAAAAAAACCGAAAGCATTTAGAACACATTTGTTCAAACAACTTGATCTTGGCAATTTTAATAGGATCCATCGTTAAAAAAGTATTTATGTTTACTTCATAATAAAATTCATCTTTGCTTGTTCCAGTAACACAATCGGAACAAGACAAATGTTGCATATTACTAGTGAAGTTGCAGCAACGCAGTGGACAGTTCCTCTGGGTGCATATGGTGTTACAAGTGAAGGATGCAACGGATACACCGCGACAGTTTATTGTTGCAACCAATCAGATATTAAGGTAAGATATCTTTAGCTTTAAAAATTAAAATGTACCTTTTATTGTTTATTTTAGTTACTAAATACGAATTCAAAAAATACATAATGATTTATTGCTTTCAAAAAGTTTAGATACATTATTTTTGCTCTGTTAATAATAGAAAGCCTAGTGAGAATTTTCTTTAAATGTACGCGAATTAAACGCTTTTAGCCTTATGATAGGTTGGTTGAGTTCATGCCGGCTAGTCAAAACTCTGAACGTCATGAACCTGTCGATCACCTTAATCTTTCAATCGTGGTAGTTCTAGACATAATAGATGCGAACGCCGGCGTTCGTTTGTGGTTTGCTCACTTAACGTAAAACAAACATAACATAACTATAATAACCTTCAATATAATCCATTTATTATTTATAATTATTCAAATTTTATACAAATCGTTTTTAATTTTATTGTAAATAGGTTTAGGTATTCCCATGTTTTATTACATTCTCACGTATTAATCATCCAAAGCATTAGAGCTACTAAAATTAAAATATTTTAAACAAAACATGCACCTCACAAATCGGTATTCAAAACTCTTCATTCTCCCCACAGCGAAGAAGAAGCAACGATAATGCTGGCCAACTCTTGGCTTTACCAGTACTATGGTTACCAGAACCAGCCCTGTGGAATGCTAGACCCTCGCTGCCAAAAGTTCTTTAGACGAGACCAGTGTTACCAAGAGTACCAGGAGTATCCTTACGTGGAGAACCAGGAGATGGAGTACGCTGGATACCATGTGTCTTCCTATGTGCAGCCAAAAGTTGATGATTTTAATGGCTGTGAGCGAGTGTACTCGGAGAGGGGACCTGTTGATTATTCTACGCATTCACCTCAGTCTACTATTAGTGAAGAAAGGTAGGATTTTTTTTATTACATTAAAAACGTTTCTATGTTCCTGTATGTGTGTGTAGTGAGAATAGTTTCCTTTATTATGGTAGGTAGTTTAAGGAAATCACTGTTATTTCGTATAACAAGTAGCTTCAAGATAAAGACCCAAACTATTTAACATATAATTATATCACAATATCAGCCTATGTCAGTGTTCACTTCTGAGCAAAGGCCTTTACTTCCACAGAGTAGGTTTTAGCATTAATCACCACGCTTGTTCAAATACGAATTGGCGATTTCAAACTTTCGATTAGAAATGAACTCTAAGGAGGGGTTTCCCACTATGTTTTTCTTTTCTGTATATAAGTGATGTCTATAAAATTGTAGAAGGTACATTGTAACTCGAAAAAAGTCACATTGGCACTAGCCGGGATTAAACCGATAATTTCGGGTCGACTACGGCAAAACAAAAAAAAAATACTTCAATGTGATAAAAAGGCACAGTTTCCATTACAGTAGAGTGTAAAATTGCCACAATCCCATTGTCTGTTCGACTTAATAACCAAATCTAAGTCTTCATAATCGACCTCTGCAGTAACCTATCAACAAGGCATACAAAGTAGAATAAAGATATTAGTTGCCTATAATTTAAAACAAATGCACTATTAACACAATACATAAGCAGGCCAGTATACATTTTGTACCCGTCATATCACTCTGTGGAATATAAATAAGAAAATCATCGCCCCGACCCGTCTGTCCGTCTGTCCATCTGCGTAATTTGACACCTTTCATTACCATATTTATTGTAAACTTACTATTACAAACTAAATAATACCATCACTATAAACACTTAGAAACCTTCTTACAGGACTATTTAAAGTTGAATTTTGTGTGTTTAGTGCTGAGCGGATAGTAAAAATAAAATGGTAGTTGTAAACCAAATATGAGAAGGTTAAGTTGAAAAGGTTTTATGTCGGCTTTAGTTTATTATTTTGATTTAGTTTCTGTATTGATTTTGACGCGCACTTCATGTTTATGTTTATGAAGGAAATTATAACGAAGATCATAATTGTATGTTGGTAATTCTTAACGCCTCAGAGTTATGTATATTGCGACTTTATTTTATCGAAATTTTTTTAAGAACTTGTGTTTTTCGAAAACGAAGTCTCGAAAAATGTTTTATATTTTATACAAATATCAGGCTTTAATGAAGATTGCTGGCCATCTTTACGTAGTTACTGTAACCTAAAGAGGGCTATATATATCTAATTAAATTATAATACTATTTTTTATAATAAATTTCATATTAAATTTTTTTCAACATTAATTCATTACAAAAATGTTGCCGACCATTTACGAAGCTTAGATGTAATGATATATATATAAAACATATTTTTTTAGCGATTTAAACAGTTTGGGCTATAATTTTAATTTCAGTAATCCTTAAAGAAATGAGGCCATTAAAATGTAAAACTTCTCCTAACTTTATACAAAAATGAACTTTATAAACTTATGCTTATAATCGACATTTCTATTTCAGATCACCACACCACTATGACCCGCCACCAGATATTATAGTAAACAGTAATATGTACATGTATCCACATCATGGGAAGAGAGAGTATTACGAACAGTATCCTAGGGTCAACTACCACATCCAGGAACCCTGCTCCAGTACTGTCATTGAAGGTATGCTTTTTTCCTTTCTATTTGCAAAATCTATATTAAAATATCTTTAAATCTGGATTTCGTATATATTTATAGTGTTTATATAAGTACTGCTTACTCTATCTATATCATATAAACAGATTGAGTATATAAAAAATACCTATGACATCAAAATGACTTTGGCTGAATGAGAGACAGCAAGGAGATTTGCTTTCAATTCTAACTTGAATACCTTAATCACATTTTATTTTTTTGATGTTGAAAAGGAATAATGAAATTGACGTTTTCATTTGATAATGAGTAAATGATTTTTATTTCGGACATAAAATCCACATATTTAGTGACATATAAATAAAAGAAAAAATTTGTTTAGTGTTAGTAATTATCAAGATGCGCATGATTTTCAACGTCGAATAAATGTAAAGTATTTTAAAATCACTCATTCATATATTTCTTTTATCTAGGTATGGAGTACCCCAGTCCAAAGCGTATGCGGTTAGCCCCACCCCCCTTAACCTTGGAAGAAACTGACGGCATGGACAGATGGAATCCCAGTCCACCCTGGTCGGATACTACGCTCAAAGTTCCCGACTACACCCAGCGATTTACCTACAACCATATGGTACCAATGCCTCCCGAAAGAGCTATGGTCACTTAATATTAAATATCAATATTAATTTAAGTAAAATTAATTTAAGTACAACAGTTTAATAGGAAATTTTATAAGTGTTCATTAAATTCCAGTATTAATTTAATCATCTATTTTTGTAAAAAAACAATCGTTTTCTTACAGCATGATAATTTATTTTCTTCAGTTTTTTTTGTCTTTAACGATAAAAGTTAATTGCGAATTTCTTTCAAGTATTTTCTTTTTATTTAATCCGTTCTAAATTTAATTTTTCGGTACCTATTTAAGTAGTATTAGAAACTTTTCCTATCTTGATGCATTTAAAAATTGTTTCATAAAGCTCAAATATTACCTTATCATAACGTTGGTAGCCAACATGTTGACCAACATTGCAATTTATTTTAACAAAAAATAAGGTTCATTTTACACTAGGAAATTGGGTCCAAGTTGGCTGCCAACTAGAGAAAGGGCAAAAATGTATCAGTATTTTATTTGTAATTATTTTTAAGTTAATTTATAGTTTATATTTAAGTATTACAATATGGTTCCGTCCAAAAATGTTTGCATTCCAAAGGAATAGTTAGATAAGTCTTAATTTTTTACAATAAAATGTAAATATTTTTGTAGTTATTATGGCATTTATGTAAATATTAATTTTTATTTTATTGTAAATTGATTTAATCGTGACTAAGAGATGAAATAAAAGAATGATAAGTTGAAATAATTTCTGTAGTTTTATTTGGAATTTTAAAAACCTATGATCTACTAATTATTTTATTATTACTATATATCAAAAATAAATTTACATCAATAATCATAGGTTTAAAGTGTATACTGATTGCATGATTTAAAAGCTTAAATTTAACTTGCAATGTCTGTATACATATATTATGTACGTTTGGAAAGTAGAACCTTGGACCGAATTTTGAAACAGATATCTTCAACTGATTGGCTAAAATTTTGTGTACACATTTCTTAAACGAAAATTTTATCCCGTGACTTCATAAGCAACTTGATAATGGTCATATTTAAAAAGTTTTTAATAAATGTAAGTATATTATGAAAATGAAAACTTCGTAGTCTTGTTTAAGATTCGTTTTTTTTAAGTTAAACGTTGTTAAACCTTAGTCAGCTGACAAACAAATCTAAACAATATTTTAAGCGGTGTCTCATAAAGTGAGTAAGAGTAATGAGAGAATATAAAAAAAAAAACAGAATATAAAAAAATAATAACGTAAACACATAATACATCACATAAATATTCCTTTTCTATCCGTAGACCGAAATGTATTAAAGAATAATTTATTCAAGGATCAAATAATAGAGAATAAAACATTTAATTTACGTAAAAGGGTACGATAACGGTTACCCGGTTACCTTTGAACATAATAATATAAAGACTAACAAAATTAAAGATCAAAGATATCTTAGCTCTACAGGGCCAATGTTCAGCCGGGGTTGTGGGGCAAGCACAATAAGATACCTACTACAGCCTCGGCCTAGGGTAGGAAAAGAGAACGGGGTGGCTTCTAGTCAGAAAGAGTCTGACACTGCCTTTCGCCTCAATCTCCAATCTAGATGAGAGTCATTTGATGATTACCTCCTTCACAAAAAAGTGTGATACTTTACAAACTACTTTTAGTTTTGTAAATTAAGCTCTGCAAATAAATGCAAAATAAATATGAAGTTTCGACAATCACTCATAAGTAAGATAACCAAGATAATAGTGGAGAAACGAGCAGATTGTAAGTAACCAAAACAAGAGAAGGGACGAATGCGTTGCCTGTTTTATTTCAAAACTCAGAGACATTTTATATTGTTGACATTTCATTTGACGTTTTATTTTGTGTGTTATGTGCGTTAGTATATAGACGCGAATAAATACTTTTTCTTTCGTTCACATTTATTGATAGCCACTGTTGCGGAACAAGCGCTGTAATATACCGTGGCTTTGACCTAAAGCAGAAGAAGAAACGTGGTGGTTTTGCATCAGTAAGAGCCTGACACTCCCTCTCCCTCACCTAGGATATTATAAGGCAATTGCTCAAAATAGACACATTTAATGGATACTTAAATTATAACTTAGAAAGATTATATTCCAAAAGCATTTTCTAAGGACTAGGTTAAGTAAATAATATGTGACATTGAGGTTAGCATTTAGTTAGCTATTAGCAGTATTTTGGGTACCTCGGAGTATTGCGGCTCGCCATGGAAGTCTTATATTATTATTATTATTTTATTATCTTAGTAAGCAGTTAGAAGCAATGTTTTGTTCGCTAGTTAGGGCGATAAACGATGAATAACGCAGATGGACCCCCATAATACCATAAAAGTTATCGTTGTCGGTGCGAGTGCGTTGCGTTATCAGTAAAAGTTTGGATGCGCAGATTCTAAATTTGAAAGTAATGGGATGGGGTAATCTAAGACACATGTTCCAATACAACGTAAGTGTTATTGCACGCTGGTTGAAACCTAAATAGCTAAAGATAAATTAAAGTCAAAGAATCGTCAGATAAGTCTAAAAATATTGCAATTTTGTGTAACGAAAAAGGGAATACTCTTACGCATTTACAGCATATTTAAAGAATACAAAGTTTCTCTTCTCTGCACAATCGGTCTGCAAACAAAAAGTCATTCAGTAAACTACCAATCTAATCATAATATCGACACAGCCAGTGCGACTGCCACGCAGATTACTGGGTAATCCATCCACTCGTGTAACCCACAAGTAGTAACGTATTCCAGCAATCAGAATGTCAGAATGTCACCCTTCCGAGAACAATGTAAAACAAGGTATACGCGGTTAAAATTTTAACTCAAAGCTAAATTATGTGTGCACTGTGCAAGTGTTCGTAATGCCACCCATTAGCTGTTTTAGTACTTGCATAAGTTACTTGAATTATATTTAAATGTCTAATGCGTGCGAATTACATTAGGGATACAAGCGTTGAAGTTCTTAATAGATGTAATGCGCTTAACAAACAACCAACCTAATTTGGACTTTTGTATTAGAAGCGTTTCCCCCTCTGGTGTGTTGGTTGGTTTAGGTGAGGGGAGCAGGGTAGATCAAGTTATGATGGCGGCGCTATAGCTGTCAATCAGGCAAAAGCTAAGTCCGATAGTGTAGGGTACAAGTAAAGACACTATAGCGATATTTTCTAAACCAGAATTAGATTAAAATAAAAAATAAAAATATTATCAATTCAAAAGGGCTGGGCGGAAGGGAGTGTCAGACTCTTACTGACTAAAAAGTCGGTCGGGCGGCGAGCTGCCTTTACTCGCCGACCGCAGACCCGCGCTTACGGTGGCCGGAGATCATCTCTCAATCCCCGACGCCCAGAATTCGCAGAGATCGCCTATTGCGGCGGCTGGGGCGTGAGGAGGAGGATTGCTCCCTCACGCGGTCCGCCTCCCTCTTTGCGAGCATAACTGCTTCACAGAAGGAGGAGACGGCGTCCCAGTTCCTCTCACTCCGCATGTTGGGCATGCTATCGGAAAATTGTCCCTCAACCCATACCTGCTAATGACTTAAGATTCTCTTTTCCAACGATGTAATCGTTTGGTAACAACTAAATTTCTGTAAAAAGATTTTTATTATCGCATTGTTTATCGAATATTTAAGACCAACTGCTCATGTATGAACAAAGTTGCAATAAGAATCAAAGATTACGTACTAAATACATAAACATTAAACACATAGTCACAATCAGGAAATGCATATATCTAAAAATCGCTCTCCGCTTGTAACATACACTTAAAAAGCTCAAGTAAAACTTTGATCCATTGTTATTTCAAGCCTGTCTGACTGCGTTCAGATGAATTATTGATGTCTAGAATCTATACGTGATCCTAAATCCCAGGCCTATAGCATTGTAACACGGTACCAAACAGGAAGACACCGCGTAGAAAAATAACCATAAAAAAATACCTAGTAAATTATGAGGCGCTGAAAAATTTAAAAAAATTCTTAAAATAATTTTAATTATTTTTCTTATTTTTTTTATTTGGTTCCTCAATTCGTGTGCCGTGGTATGTTATGATAGCATCAATATTAAGATGTAGGTAATATGTTCATTTATAGAATTAATAATGGTTTAATGCGTCTCATTGTGTTACGTTGAATAGTATTATAGAGGAGCGTTCCAGTTATTTTATTAATGTAAGAGTTTATCGTATAAAGGTATTGTTTACGTAAAAAGAAGTTACAACTATTTACAGATTTTTTTAATGGTATAAGTCGGCAAACTAGTAGACTGATTACCTGATGGTAAGCAATCGGCGCCGCCCATGGACACCCGCAACATCAAAGGAGTTACGAGTGCGTTGCCGGCCTTTTGGGGATAGGGGTTGCGGATATAAGGATCCGGAAGGGATAGGGTAAGGGAAGGGATTGGGCCTCCGGTAACCTCACTCACTCGGCGAAACTAAACACTATGGGTTGTTTTACGCCGGTATTCTTGCTTGAAAGTAACTAACGAATTTACCTACTTAGGTATATAGATAAATATATTTTTTAAATATATCTATTTATATATTTATTTAGTTTTAATTTCGTTAGTTGTGATATCATTTCAACTGAAGTCATTTTGATTATCTTACACGAATCCTGTTTTTACCCGACTATAAAATTAAGAGCTATTTGTATTGCCATTCTTCATAATACATCGTGATACTTGTGAGCTTTACTGCAGTTATTTTTTTAAACATGCAACCAAATTCACCTTGTCGAAAACGAGTTTCGAATTTGTGTTTCAATGTGTAAGTGAGGGTGCTAGAGGCCCTATCCACCCCTCCCATCCCCAATCTTCAAATCCCTAATCCCCAAAAGGCTGGCAATGCTTTTGCAACTCCTCTATTTTGCGAATGTCCATGGCCGATTGATGACCATAACCGACTTATTTCCATAAAAATTTAAACCGTAGCCAAATTATCTTAATTCTAAATAACTCACTCACCATACTGTTACAGATGTTAAAAAGATTACTTACAAACATATCACAAGCTGATCAATAAAGAAACCATTAGCTTACTGCCTCATTACTGCATAAAACATTGCGGGCTGGTGTAGCCCACCGGTTCGCATTACCCTACTCGTTAGTGGAAAACAAATTAATAA